CGTAACCTACCTTACTCCACGTTACTCGTACTACTACTAACGAACGTACACTATTCTTACTAACTAATAAACCGACTACTACTCTCTCTCTCTCTTCTTACTTATATATATATATATATATATATATATATATATATATATGAGTAATGATCTTATAGGATCATCCCCCACTCATGTGTGTATGGCCCTAAATGATCACCATTAAATTTGACATGGATCTCTAGAAAAATTATCACATGAATATGAAACTTGACTTTTTTAGAGATCCGTACCAAATTTAATGGTGATCCTTTGGGGTCCTACACATATGGGTGGGAGAGGATCCTATAGGATCATTTCTCATATAAATAATACATGTTTATATTTAACATTACATTTAAATATGGGTCGGGTCCAATAACTTCAAGTCCAGATCCAGGTCCGAGTCCGGACCTACCCCTAGTGTCACGTATAGAAATCCCTGCCTAATGGCTCTGGATTACCTTGGGCACTTCTATCAAAGTTAAGCTTGATGCTAGCTAAAGGCGGTGGCTACCAATTTCCATACCTTGACTGGTAGCCACCTCTCTAAAATTGTACACGTCTCTCTTAGGCACCCCCCTTAATTCCTTCATAATCGAGACCCGATCTTCTAATTTTTTTACCTTCAGTTGCTCAATATTTGAGTTTATATTTTCAGAGCATCACTGACTCCTTTGATTCCATAGTCGCCATAATAGCGCAAGCAGTAGAGCCTTCCATAGGGTTCCATAGGGTTCTACACACTTTGGATGAAAGAAGAGCTATGGTATGGTTCAAGCATGAAAGATTGATGGAGTCTACCTTTTTTTTTCTAGATCCAAATAATTTACAACATAACGCCTTGGATTATCTGCTAACCACCCAATCAATCATTTCTTCACAATGATAAAAAAAGGATCACCTGGTATATTCTCCAAGTTGGTTAATCTTTTAGCAATTTTAAAATGGATGGATAATGATTAGTGAGCAGACTTCATCCCAAAAGTTCTACAAGTGAAGCTTTCCCCATTAGCCACATCCAAGTAATTTACAATAGAACTCCTTAGATTATATGCTATATGCTAACCACTCAATCAATTATTTCTTCAGAATGATAAAAAGTTTCATGTAATTTACAATAGAACTCCTTAGATTATCTGCTAACCACTTGATCAATTATTTATTTGGAACGATAAAAAAAGGATCACTTGGTATACTCTCCAAGTTGGAGAGTATAAATGGATGGATAGTAATTAGTTACAAACTTCATTACAAGAGTTTTACAAGTGAAGGCTTTCCCCATCAGCGTTACCCAGCAGTCTAATATCCAACGACGGTTTGAAAATAAAGCTAGAGCTCCACCATTCCACCCCTTTTTGACTTTTGTATAATACAAAGATACCATATTATCTATAATAACGATATTATCTCATGGGAGTTTAAACTACAATGTCATTTACCTATAAATACAAACACTCCTAGCTATACGGCTCATCCCAGGGAGAGATCAAGCTTCGAGAAACAGTGAATGGTCTTAACAATACACAAATCTAAAACTCTCCAAGAATTTCAATTGCGCTTCCGAGTGCAAATTCTCCTTTCTCTCTCTTTATCACTTTCCCTCACCCTCACTTTAGTGGCAACTTGCTCTAGCCCTCGGGCACTCGATTGGACTTTCGAAGAGCTTAGCTTAATAAACAGCTCAGATAAAAAAGCCATTGAATGTGGAATATAACAGCTTGGGTTATCATACAACTCAAGAATTCTCTTTTAAACATTTGAGTTCAATCAATAACATAGCCCTAGCTTTCTAACATCAATAATAAAAAATAATTGTAACATCCTTGTACATAATTTAAATGACATTATTACATATTTTAGTCTTATCTTATTCAAAATGAAAAAATTACATAAACTCAATTCTTGTTACGAATACTTGACCTCTTGAGCATTAAGTTATTCTCTACCATCCTACAAGCTCTGCAACATGCCAACTTATATGCAAAATAATAAAAAATTGTATTCTCTATATAATTATCTATTTCACACAGACGTTTCATGAAGTACTACCATTTTAGCTTCAAATTCTGACACCCCAGCATCTACCAAATATTAACAAGCACGACCGACAATGCCCTCCCAAAAGACTTAAAAAGTAATAGTCCCTCAAATGTGAAAATCTAACCAAAATGATTTGACTTTTTTTATTGCAACTTTATTCCAAATATAAAAGTTTTTCTTGAGTATTCTCTATGACATATATTTCAGCGAAATAGAGAAGAGAAACAATTCACTTATATAATTTATTATTACTTTTTCTTCTTTTTTTTCAGTTTTCTTATTTATATCTTTATGAAAGAAAGACTCTTTTTTTTTGAAAAAAAAAACCCAAATTGGACAAAAGGGCGGATGAGAGCATAAACATCGAACCACCATTCCAAATTAATTTGTCAGCTGATCAATGATAATCCATGCCCTCTCTCTCCACACCTAATGCAACTGGATCTCTCTCTCAAGAAATTTACAACTCTCTCCCCCTCTCTCTCTCAGAGAGACGCCCCATATCACAACCCTTAAAGGCAAGAAATTTACTTCTCTCACCATAAACCATATCACAAACCACAAAAGGTCGAAATTTACAACTCTCTCTCTCTACCAACACAATGAAAACAAGTAAAAAACCTCAGCGAAAATGTAGAGAGAAAATTAGGAAAAACTAAATGAAAAAGTAACAGTTACAGTGCCACCGACATTGGGTGACACAATTACAAGGCCTACAATTCCCCAAGACCGTGTCGTGAGCTGGGAGGGTAGATCACGTGCATCACTCGCACGAGCCAGGCGAGAGAGAGAGAGAGTCCAATCAATCAATTGGACCAAACATGGACCAGACCCTGCCTGTTTCCCGTGTATATCTCATTGCGCTCTTCGTCGTAGAAGAGTGCGGTTATGTCCTCAAGGGCATCAGCAACTGTGTTCCTAAACCTCGGCCGCTTATTCTTGTTCGGCTTATTCTTGTTCACAATCACGTTTGAATCATTTGCATGTATCTTTGCAAGGCACTTTCCAGTCAAGATATTGCTTATGTTGATCGAACCGACTGCATGGAAAAAACCCACTTCACATATGCCAGAACAATCATGAAATCTCTCTCTATACAAGTCAAAAACTTGCAATAAACTCTCTCTCTCTCTCTCAGCCCCACATTCTAACAAACGTAACACACGATCTGGTGCCCTGAACCTCCCCCTCTTTGGTCGAAGAAGAAGAAAATATTTCACATTAGCAGCAACCGCTCCAAAAAGACAGGAAACTGCTTTTAGAAAAATATTCAGATACCTAACACACATGCATTCTATATGGTAATCAGAGCACATCCGGCCTTACCACAAGACTAGAAAAGGAGAGTTTTTGTGGTCCGCTATGGGTGCCAACTGGTCGGCTAGGGTCACACACACAAACAAACACATACATATATCTATATAATCTATATCTATATCTATATATATATAAACACACATATATCTATATAATAAATGGGTGTGGTTTTTATAAGGCTGCTACCTTAAACAATCCAATTAAGGCGCACCTCTACAATTATCCTAACATGTAATTTAGTGTTAAAATTCTTAGGATTATCTCATTCTATTTTCATATCTAATTATAAAATTTCAAACTATAAAAATGGTTAAAATCAAGTTGATCTATAAACATAAGAAAATCTTGAAAATGGACAATTTAGAAAGTGTGTCGCAAGATGCACTATTTTTAAGACTTAAAATCTATTTTTTTTCTCATATTCATACATCTCAATGTTGAAATGATCCATTAGAGGATCTTTCAACATTGAAACGACTTTTTTCGATGGATTTTTGAGGTGCATCTTTTATTTTACATTTGAATGTTGCAACTTTTTATAAAGTTTTCCCATAATATATATATATATATATATATATATATATATAGACACACACCCCCTAACTCTTTATTTCAATGGAAGGAAAGATTTGACACGACGCAGGGGAGCAGCTATTGCAAAGTAATGCAACTGATCACCTAGAGGAGGTGACTGGCTCGACACCCCAACGGGAAACAACTCCAAAAGCCTCTTCTACCCAAATTTCATGACAATAGCATTTGCGGAAAAAACTAAATCGCTTTGTGGCCGTCAGTTTGGCCACCATTAAAGTCCAGGACAAGTGCGTATACCATTATTTCAGCTGGTCGATATATAGCTATGCTATGTATGTTAGGATTTAAGAACCCTCTTCGATGAGGAAACAAAAATCCCAAAAGTTAGATCCCAACAAGATCGTGTACTTTTCCAGCTAGAAACAAAATAAGAGTGAGCATGAGCTATAATACAAGAAATATAAATAAAGTATGAAATACACACGCCACGAGAACACAAAGATTTACGTGGTTCACCTCAAGACTTACGCGGTTCACCACAAGAAACATCCATGGGCACGGCAAATTGAAATCCACTATACCAATGAAAGTTACATCATAGATTTTGGAACATAGAGTTACCTTTCTAACCCTCGATAAAACCTAGTCGAGCAAAACCCTTTTAGACCCGCTCTCCCGATCGGCACGACCCACTGATCTCTTATCTCTACTCCACAGCTAAACCACTGTCCAGGAAGAAACCTATCTCTATTCCACAGCTAAACCGTTGTCCAGAAAGAGACCCTTGAGAGCAACCAATACTCTCTCGCTAAAAAGGGAAACCACCCAAAATCTTGATGGGAACCGCCGTTTCTTTACAAGAACCTACAAAAAACCAGCCTCTCAATTTACACGAGGTACGACGGGGTGTTTCTTTCCATAGGAAGCTCTCTTCTCTCTAAGGGGAGGTCTTGCCTCTCTCTTTAGAGGAAGCCTAGCCTTGCCTCTCACGTTAGAGGAAGCCACATTTCTCAAATAGTGATCCAAATAGGGCACACATAGTCTTTCCATATATATAAGGTTATGAGTTCACACTAAATAGGAAACTTTTTATAGGTATTAATTATCTCAGAGTCCTACTCTTTTTGAATTTCTATTTCCTTTAGGGAAATTTATCACTATTAATCTCAATCCAACATAATATGGGATTTCCTTATGTGGGTGATTTTAGATATTACCATATCCAACCAGTATATGTGTATATACGAAGGGTGAGAGTACCACTGTCCCAGCCCAAAGGCTTTGTTTGTTAGCACCTCATGCCCAAAGGCTTTGTTTGTTAGCACCTCATGGTAGGAAACGTAACACAGGCAGCACAACACTATTGTTAAAGTACAATAGTTATGAAAAGAACCTAACCCAAGGGGTCTTTCCATCTCTATTGTATTGCATTTGGTACCGGAAAACACTTGCCATTGCCGCCATATTGTCCACTATGAAAGCTGTCAGCTGGTTGCATTTTAATGCCATAAGGAAGCCAAACCCAATCATAGTAAAACTGCTCCAAAGTTTTAATCTAGCGAGGGAAAACTAAGAAAAAATTGTGGGTTTTGGAGGACCTTACCTTTTCCTTCGACAGATGAGTCATCGGGGTCAGCCTTACAATAAGAAATGATGAGGTCCTGGTCGCTCGTGATGTAAATGTTGTTTGTATTACAGTCCGGGTGCCAAAGCATGTGATCTTCAAAAGAGGTCACAAGCTCACCGCGAAAGTTCCAGACAGCCACCGTTCCATTTCGGAAAGTCAAGAATAGTTGGTTCTCATAAAGGAAGATGAAGGCCGATGGTGTCATGAACTCCGTTCTGCTAACTTCCGTTAGTTCAGAATTCCGAACCTGAAAAGTCTCATTGAGAAACCAATCAAAATAAAGCACCATGCTTTTTTTGCTTTTAAATGAGAATGACAACATAATATATTATGGAGAAATTGCAATGATTTTTATTCAAACGAAAATATGGACTCCCAGGACCTCCAGAAAAATAACTAGGAAGTCACATGATCACATATCATATCTATGAAAAAAGTTTATATAAGGTTGCAACCTGAAAATATAGAATTAAGGTGCACCTAAAAAATTCATCGTAAAAGGCTGTTTTGAAGTTGGAAAACCCTCTAATTGATCGTCTCAATATCGAGACGTACAAATATGAAAATAAAAAAAGATTTTGAGTCCCAAAAATAGTGTATCTTGCAACACATTATCTAAACTATCCATTTTCAAGATTTTCATATGTTTATAAATCTACTTGATTTGAACCATTTTTGGAATTCAAAATTTTATAGTTAGATATGGAAATGGATTCTCAGGCCATCCTAAGAAGTTTTGACACCAAATTACATCTTACGATAAAATTTGGTGGTGCACCTTACTTCGATTGCTCAAGTTTGCTACCTTATGCAAACCACACCACCCTCTATGTATATGGAAAAGTTTATATAAGGTATCAGCCTTATACCATTGAAGTAAGGTACACCTCAAAAACCGTCTGGAAGAGAGTATTATGATGTTGGAAAACGCTCTAATTGATCATCTCGACCTTGAGATATATAGATATAAAGAAAACAAAAATTTGAAGTCTAAAATATAATGGATCTCTTAACAAGTTATCTGGATCGCCTGTTTTCAAGAATTTCAACTAATTATATGCTCGATCTGTACCATTTTTGAAATTTTAAATTTTATAACGAAGGATGAAAATAGATTTTCATGCCACCATAAGGTTTTCAGCACTCGAACTACATCTACAAGAAAAATCTAAAGATGGGCCTCCCACAATATAAGGACGGCACCTTATATAAAAAATAATCCTCACCTCATACATAGATATACATATAGATGGATTCAATAATCGAGAGATGAAGGAAAGTAGACTTAGGAATTCTGGCAATGTACAGTGTCAACCTAGAACAACACTAGTTAGAAGGGGCAATTTGGTTCAAGCAGAAGGATTTGGAGGCGAAGGCCCAAAAGAACATGGATAGAGGTATTGAGAAGAGATGGTGACTTATGGTGAGTGTGACGGAACAAGATTCACATGGCCGACCCCAAATGGTTGTGAAAAGATTACCATGATGATGATGAGAGAGAGAGAGAGAGAGAGAGAGTGCCTAGGCAACCAAAAAAGAACTAGTAAATGTGATGCAGAAAAAAATTATTCGCATTTTTAAATTTTGTTTATATTTTAATTTTAGTTTTAGGATTTACTATTGGGGCTTTTAACTTTACTAGGGATTCTAGGGTTTTTTTTTATATTTTTATTTTTTATTTTCTATTCACGGGTATTGTTCATGTTACTGTTCATGCATTATTGTTCACATGTTACAGTTCTTAAGGGTATTTCTGGAATTTTAAAAGTTTAGGGGAACTTTAGAGTCTTAAATGTTTACTTCGATAGCAAGTTAATTTTAGAGTTTCATAGGCTTATAAAAGGTTGGATGTCCCACTTTGGGAGGCTTATGCAATTTACAATAAATTTCATTTTATGAAAGAAGAAAATTCTTGTCTTGGCTTCATTTACAGCCATGCCTATTCTCTATAATTTGTAATTTTGACGTTCAAGAAAAAGATGTATTCAATTCCCCATCTTTTCTTCCCGCATCAAGTGGTATCAAAGCATGGTTCGAAGATGGTTAGAGATTGCGATGGCTAGTCATGGTGATCTTAGTTGTAGGGATGCCGATTTAATCCAATTGCGCAAGGAAATCAACAACTTAACGAAGAGGGTTACATAACTATTGCTGCGCAAGCGAAGCCAGCAACTACGTGCCCTAAACATAGAGAAATCTACAAGGATCGATCCAAATCATGAGGGTTTCTATGGAGAATGGCGTGAATCAAAGTCTAAGTCCGAGTAAGAACGAACTAATGGCATGTCAAACTATGTAGATCCTTTCAATGCACGATGGCATCGACAAGAACATAATTGTGAAGAAGAACAAAAAGGATCTAATATTCAATTAGAGTCAATATTCTTTGAATCACTAGCAGGTCCTATTTTTTATAGTGCTCCTATCTTTCATAGCGATCCTATTTTTGATAAGGAACCAAAACATCCCATCGATAGAGGTCCTATCTTTTATGATCAACAAGATTTCCGTGGTTGAACAGATCGAAGAAAAAGATGAAGATCCGAAGGATATCAAAGAGGTGTAACAGTTGGAACATTTAGGGCAATGAATTCAGAGTAGTGCAGTGGAAGCACGATTGACTCAAAATCAGCAAATTGTGGCCTTGGATTTTGGGAGTAATGGAAAAAATGTCCCGAAAGCCTTTAAAGGCCAAAAAATTGAGTTTGGAGTATCTTACACGATTTTCAAAGAGAGTAAAAAATAGCTATACATATGAAGATCCTTTTCTAAAAATTTCCTCTTACCACAAATAATCTTTGAGCCAACAAAGAAGAAGGTTGAAAAAAGTGGTATTGACGATGAATTCATCATCATACTTCAAAACTAGAGGACGAATTTTCTCCAACTAGGGAGAAGGATGCAAGACAAATTTATTCTAATTTTTAATTTTTGTTTAATTTCAAGATATGTCTATTTTAATTTTAGTTCTAGGATATTTTTTTAAGTATTTTAGGGATTTTAGGGTTTTTTATATTTTTATTTAATATTCACTAATTACTATTCATACGTAATGTTCACGTGATACTGTTCACAGGGGTATTTCTGGAATTTCAAAATTATTTACGGGTATTTTAGAGTCTTTACTGTTTACCAAGATCTCAAGTTAATTTTGGAGTTTTATAGGCTTATAAAAGGGTTGGATATTAAATTTTGGGAGGCTTACGTTACTGGAATGTTTTTTAAAATATTAAAAGTGAAAGAAAAGCTCAGGTTTTTTGAAACCTAGCTTGGAGTGAGGAGGAAACTCAGGTTTCTCCAAAAGATATTGCTTGTGTTTGACATGTTTTCTTGCTGATTTTAGTGCTTTCTCAAATTTCTCTACATGAAAATGTAATTGATGCACTTTTCATTCAATATAAGTTAACCCCACTACTATAACGATTGGATTGAAGTTTCCTTTCAGCAAACATATTTATTTGATTTCTAGAGGTCGAGGATGTGTCCAGTAAGCCCGTCACGACATCAAAATTCACCTCAGAAAAATCACCCCAAAAGTCCTAAATCCTACCATTTTTTATATTTTTTGCATAGTGATTTCATGTCACAAAAATCCATTTGATTAATAAAATCCAGATTGACTATGATGCTCCAATGTTCTATGATAACTCAACCATAAAACCACCTACCTGCCAAAAAAAATAAAAAACAAAAATTGCTCCATTGCAATCCGACGGTAATATTGATTAGTCACCGCTGGATGGCCATCATCAACACTCAATTAACATCAGCAAAGAAGGATAAACACTCACATCAAGAATCTGGAGGTTTTCATTTTCCTGCTTCACCAGAAGCTTTTCGTTGAACTGCTCAATGAAGTCCACCTTTTTATTCCGATGAAGAAGATGGTTGAATGCTTTCAAAACTGTGCCATCTTCTATTGATAAGATCTTCAGAGGGACATGACCACTTGCCCTTGCAAATATCAATAGCATGATCCCTGGACTGCACATACAGGATCAACACCCACAATTATTTATGGAAAAAGTTTATATAAGGGTGCAACCTTATTATGTAGAACTACGGATGCACCTCAAAAATCCATCGGAAAGGTAGTTTTAAT